AACTTAGGCAAGACATTTTACTCTCACAGTGCCTCTCTTCACCCAGGTGTATAAATGGGTACCGGCAATTTAATGCTGGGGGTAACCCTGTGATAGACTAGCATCCCATCATGGGGGAGTAGAAATACTCCTAGTCACTTCATGCTACAGAAACCGGAGTTAAGCACCGGCCTAATGGGCCACTAGGCTCGTAAACAAACTTTACTTTTACTTTTACTAAAGAACTATTTGCATTTGTTCCATGTGAGCTATCTCTGGCTTGGCACCATTTATTGGCTGAAGGGTGTTAAAATGTAAGTTTAGAGCGGTAGTTCCGGGAAATTAGACTGCAAATGCTAGAACTCAAGTGTTCCACGAAGCGCTTTCAGCCCTGAACTGTTTAATAACTTCTGTAAGTGTATCTGTACAATTACAATTCTTCAGCATCTTTTTTCCTGGCTTTTCTCTGACAGGATCTTGAACAATACCAGATGTTGGAAATTAAAAAAGAACAAGAAGTTATGCAGGTAATAACAGGGAGTTTTCTATAGTGAGTTTTCTCGTAAAGGCGCTAATTGTGTTCAAACAGGTGCATGAAGGACATTGTTTACAGCAACTGCAACTTTATTCATGCATATGTGTGTGTGTTTTTTTGTTTTTAAAGGTGCGACTGGAGAACATTAAGCTCAAAAACCGGCTGAAGAAGAGAGAGATGCAATTAAAAGCTAAGGTTGGTCTCAAAGTCTGAAAAATACGATTTCAATGATTTTTTTTTTTCATTTCTGTTAGAACTCCCCTTTCAATTTTCACTGGATTTTGAGAAATGCAAAACAAAGCCGTCATACAAAATATCTATGTCAAACTTCCCCTTGTATTTTACGCATTATTTCGATAAATTATTTAAAATATCATGCACGCGATGGATTCCTCAGAGGCAGCAAAATCGTAAGATTCTTGCTTCATTTGTGACGCAATGACGTGGCCAGCGACATGTTATGAGAGGGATTTAGAGGAGAGGTTCACTTCAGATTATTATCCATCGGTCCATGCATACAAAGTGCTTAGTCTGAATTTCAGCGGTCTCTTCCCTTTACCCCAAGGGGTACGTCTTTTTAGTCTGAAATTGAGACTAACAAAGTGCTCTATTTATTTGTACTTTTTTGCTTTCCTTAGGAGGAGCTAGCGGAAGGATTGCACTTGATTGACTTTGAGCAGCTGAAGATTGAAAACCAGACTTACAACGAAAAGATTGAAGAAAGAAATGAGGTTAGTAAGTAGAAGTCAAAGAAAACGTTAAACACGAAGGCGCGCTATAAAAGGAGCCTTAAGTCCCACTGGACCANTTGAACCAGAGTTGTTGTCGTATTCGCCTGACATTGCTTGCGTAGGTGATGTAGTCGTTCGCAAGTCTTTCGCTCTGTCGTCCAAGTGAATGTAAAATGAGTTGTCGTTCTGGTAAGCCACAACGACAACTCAACTCACAAACGACTCATTCACGACATAAACATCACAAACGACCGAAAAAGAACGACCTAACTTTACCGACAGATCGAAACAGACTAATCACGACCGACTTACGTCACTTGAGTCTTACAGCCAATAACACCACGGCAAAACCAACCGATTATTTCACACGAACTGGAATAAGAACATTCTACTGACAACAATCATTTACTTGACTCTGATGATGACTTCCGCACAGGTTGTCGAAACGTCAGTCACTACCACCGACAACAGTCCTTCTCAGGACTACACTCACCCGGACGATCAGACTACACCTTCACATGTTACCCCCGGGTTCAAACCATTTACTGCATTAGCTCCTTTTGTTCGTCTACCAGCATTTAAATTTGACCCGCACACGTCAACGGTGAGTGACAAATGAGCCTAGGTCTTCCCAGGGAAGACTTCCTTATATAGCGCGCCTTCGTGTTTGCCATATTTTCAACTCAGAGTGAAAATAACGCAGTTAGCCGTGCCTAAAAACTTGCGCACATACCAAGTGTATTTGTTTTGATGAATCGATCTAAGCTTAGGAAACCGGGAACTGTCAGCAGTGTGTAATAATAATAATTTTATTAATTCTATAGCGCATAATCCATTAGATATATGATCTAATGCGCTAATGCTATTTTAACATAGTTTGTACTTATCAATTCTAAATAATACAAAGAGCAAGCGTTTTAATGTTGTAAGCTGTTGCATTGGTTTGATCCTAATTAGTCGCAACAGTTGTATTTTTGCACACTTTTACTCGGGCCATTCGCACCCTTTTTTTCAAATTAATTACGAAGCTCGTATGAAGACAAACCAACAATTATAATGACTAAGTCCAAGATGCAATTCTTAGTTCCCTAACGTTCGTAGTTCCTAACATTCCCTTCTGTATATACCAAAAAACTACGGAGAACCTTTAACCTGGTATTTACGTAATACCAATACTGTTTCACCAGGAATGAGCTGAAACATGAATCCTCAGTTTTGGCACGCAACAAACGAAATACACGTCATGCATTATGACAATTCAGCCATTCCTCAAATATTAAAAATACAAGCACAAGCACACTTGGAAATTTACAGCAAAGAAGCACATGATCTCACAGAAAACGTGCCTTTTTTTCGTTTTAGGAGCTTTTGAAACTTCGCAAGAAGATCACTACTACAGTGCAAGTCCTAACGCATCTGAAGGAGAAGTTGCAGTTTGTACAGGCAGAGAACAGTGAACACAGAAACATTCTCAGATCAGTCGAAGCACACGCCGCACAGGTTCGTTATGACTGAAATTTAGATCGAGGAGAATTTAGATAGGAGAGCCGGTAGAAAAATGGTGAGCGCGCCGAGCTCCAGATCGCGAGATCTGGTTTCGGGGTTGACCGGGTCATTGTTTAATGTTCTTGTGCCAGTTTCATGCTACAGAAATTAAATAAGTTCCATTGGTTATCAGCCACTTGTGATGTTATTGCAGTCATGAATTTTCAAATAATTTGTTGTTCATCCTTAAGTTTATATCCAAAATTCATTGGCAAAGTGTCATGAATGTTTCAAACAAGAAATATTTTGAAGCTCAATTTAAGTCACTTAGTATTATTAGTATCTTTCTGTGTACCATTCTTATTGTCTTGTCTTGTCTTTTTCTTTTCTTTTCAAAGAAAAGAGATATTTTGACAAGAACAAAACAGGTCAGGGATGCACTGAGAATAGAAAATGTCAAGCTTAGACAGAAGTGTGGACTCCTTGGAAACGAGCCGCTACTCAGAGACTACGAGCAACGGAAAGAACAGGTCAGTTATTCAGCGCACATGTAGGTCAATAAACAGTTGTAGTGTTCCTAGAAAGCAAAATTTGTGAATTCAATTCGAGAAACTGTGCTGTGCAGTTGACAACTAGGATGGAAAGTTGTTGTTGAAAGGGCCAGGAGGATGACAGGAGTTTTCGTTGAAGGGTCAATGTCTAATAGATTCCGAAGATTTCCGGTGGCGTCCCGAAGAGTTTCGACAGAACATCGTTGCTAATACTCTGGGTTCAAACTTTTCCACGAGGCGAGTGCCTCGGCAGAGTTGGTTGACCCGAGAAGCGCACGAATTGACGTGAGAAGCGCAAAACAAAAGAAATGCGCATTCATTTATATTTTAGGAAGTATTAGCCTGAATTTTGTGACGAAAAGATTGACTTTTAAACTTCTCCTTTACTTTTTAGAGCGATGATATACGGGCGAAAATTGATCGTCTGAAGATGGATCACGCCGAACTGACCATGGACTGCAGCGGAATACGAACCAAAATTGAAGGAGCCAGACAAAACGAAAAATCGCTTTAGCTTTGCATTCTAATGTCGTCTGTATATAAATTTATTGACAGCGCTATTGTACATAATGTGGTTTTTATGTAAATTTGCTTAAATGCGGCGACTCGTTTGTGTCTGTGATGTCAGCCGGATCAAATGTAAAACGCATACCTTTTTATCTTTGTAAATTGATGTTTGTCATTTTTCAAACTACTTCACCAATTTACTTAAGTGGTTTCTCGCGTGCAAGCGATGTGGCGCGTGCAAGCGATGTGGCGCGTCCGGTTTAAACTGTAGATATCTAAACCCCATATTAAATTAAAACTTTTAGGACTGGCTATCAGACTATACCAAAAGTTTAAAAAAAAAAATGAATTTTCGAATTTTTCACGACTTCTAAATGCGAGCGCCTGAATCACCTTTTGAACGTTACATGTTAAAGCGAAATTTGTTTTTTGCTTATTTAATGTGTTCCTCCGTTTTGGGTGCCAAAGTGCTAAAAAAAACGTGTCTGCGATTTGCCATATTCGATTTCAGTGAAAAGTTACAGAACATTTTTGAAATAGGATTAAAAAGATGTGGAGTGATCGTACAAAAATCGCTCTTGAAAAATAAGTATTTAGAAATAAAAAAATTCGGAGACACGTTTTTGTTGTTTATATGTAAAACTAGCTACTGTCAAAATTTGAGAGCAATCGAACAAATTCCCTTTGACTTGTAGCTCTTAAAAGGTGATTCGGGCGCTCGCATTTAGAAGTCGTGAAAAATTCGACAATCCATATTCTTTCAAACTTTTTGGTATTGTCTGATAGCCAGTCCTATAAGCTTTAATTTGATATAGGGGTTTAGATATCTACAGTTTAAACCGGACGCGCTACATCGCTTGCACGCGAGACATCCCTGAAGGTGCACGGTAACCTTAAGTGCGATGTGAATACGATGAAAAACATACATGATGACCGCGATATACCTCTGTATGAATGTCTGTTCTAAAGCTTTATCTCTCATCACAAAAACAGATTTCAGGCGTTGAGTGGATGAAAGTGCTTGGTAGGGGTTGGGGAGGGTGTCAGAAATCCTTCCGGCGTGAGAGAACACGGTTTTAACCTTAGCCTCTGTGGGTTGGAAGCGCGGGAGGAACGCGCTTCCTTATTTTAACTGCCTACGTTCACCACCTAAGCTCATACCTGTTTGTATGTAACTATCGTCCTTCCTACCCATAAAAAATCCATTACAAATACTTCCCATGTAGGAGGAACGTGAAGCGACCTCTAATATTTGTACGATTTCGGCAGAAATCAGGCGCTTTATTTGGCGCCAAATTGTCTTCGAATGGTGCGCGCGCAGTTGTCGCAAAGGGTCTGGGTATAGGAAGTCTTTCATCCGAGAAGAGGCAGATATTGTTGTGGTTTTCGTACTAACCTTATCCACTGGAGCCTCTAGAAACCTTTCAAGAACAATCATTATGGCGATCTGGAAAGCTTAGTCTGTATATCTTCCACAAGGCTGCCTGCAAAATAGTTGATCATTCGCGTGAGTTTGGTGGTTGTGCGGTTTTTCATTGCGAAAAATGTCCGGGGTCATTGGGAATATGCACTCGGAGTGTGTAAGATCGCGATCTTACGAATCAATTAACACCAAGGTAACTAGAGTAGCTGATTGAGAAAAAATGTTGTGTATACATTTTTGTTTTCCTTGAGAAACTGTTTGAGTGTTCAACAACGAACGGAGCTGTAGCAAAAACGCGCACTTTACTTTAACAGTATCGAAGGCAGATGTTTTTTACACGGTTTGAACATCTTAATGTATATAAGCTTAAAATAAGGTTTATTCTTTCGTGTTGGTTTAGTGTTTGCTGTGGTGAATTAAAAATTAGCTTCCCAACCCTTCTTAATTTTCTGTGAATTCAGTTTTAACCCTTCCTGTGAAGTTTCTTTCGTAACGTAGTCCAAAATAAACATTGAAGTTTTCCGCGATCGTGCCACTCGATCTTCGAAAGTAATTTAGCATGCCGGCACGTACGATGTCTACATTATTTATGTTATGTTTTATTTGAGTACAAATTTCTTTTACCTTGTTTAGTTGAAGGACTAGAATGTAGGACTAAAATTTTGAGTGTTTGCAGGCAATATCATTGTTTGAATTAAAGAACTGAATTTTTCTAAGTTTATATATCTGGATACAATTACATTAAATCGAGGAGCACCAGAATGTCCTTGATTTGAATTCAAGAATCAAAAACTCTGTGTGAGTGGTATTTCCTTGCATGGATTTAACATCAATCATTCCTATTTTTCATATAATGAATAAGCCCAGGGGTCAAACGTGTCACTGGCTAAACAAAATTAAATTCTCAACGTGTCTAAGTTGAAGCTACTAAATTAAGAATCCATATTGATCGTCTAGAGACAGTTTGGAATGAGGTTAAATTTATGTTTGAGTTAGTGATCATGGTTTTTTCCCCTTTTGATTTGCTTTAATGCAAACTACAGTAAACCTTCAGAAAATCAAACAGCTCTACAATGCATTCCAGTGTCAAAACACACTCTCTTGATAAAAAATTATCTCATTTCCATTTCCATTACACAAAGTTGATTTGTAGCATTATTTTTAGCAATTCTTTTCTAACAAGGTTGAAGAATTTCCAATAAATATTTCAGAAAAAAAAAAACACTGTTTTGCCTTGATATAAAGAGGAATGTATGGATATGCTATGCTGAAAAATTTTCTCTAGCTCCTTCATTTTGCACTTCAGGTGACAAATTATTAATTACAGGACTCACATCCAATGATAATTGATTCTATAGGTCTTTTAGAAGATTGCTCCGAACAGTTCAATTAAAATTGTGACACATTTTTCCTATAGGCACGGATGGAAACCACATTTGGAACATCTGCTTTTTCCCCGGTGACAACTGTAACAAGAGGTAATGTTCTATGATAAAAATGATGAAAATAATAAAAATAAAATGTTGGTGTACATATCTCACTTTGCCTTTGGCTTCTTGGGCAGAAAAGTGAATATTTCAAGTACTCATTTGGGAAAATACCACAGAAATTGGGAATAAAAAATGGATCACCTCAATTATGAATTATCTCTTATTTATCAACTTTAAGCCTTTTTGGAATTTTCTTGTTTGATAAAACCAACTATTTTTTAACACTAAGTCCAAGAAAAGATGGTTGAGAGAATTGTGAAATATTTCCTAAGAACATGAAAAAGAAGAAAGTTTTTCAAAAGTCAAGGGCCAGATCTATAATCACTTTCTGTCATTGTAAGAAAGAGTTGAATGTAAAACAATGCTGTCGCTCCAATTGAAGAATAGCAACAACAACAACATCAATAGAGAGACTGGGAAAGGTTTTCCTTATAAGTACTCTGAGACATGAGGAATTCTCTAATTCTTAAATGTTTTCTTACTTAGAATGGAAGTGACCAGAATGGTGTTATTTCTTTTCATCATATCTTTGAAACAGCTTTTCCCTTTATTTATCTTTATATACTGTGGTACAATTCTATCCTTAGGTCACTCTGTTTTACTGTATTCTCAATATTATAAAACTGGTGATATCATTAAACATAAAACAAAAAAACAGTAAAACAAAAATAAAAAAAACTCAGAAAAAAAATGAAATATTGAACCAAGGTTAAAAAGTGTAGCTCTCACAGTTTATCCCTATATGTCTGTCTGTCCTCTTAAAATTTTTACGGCTCAACTTAATAATCTTTTAACCTTTGCATCTCCAACATAAGTCTCTCAACATTTACCTACAGCACTTTGGCTTCTTTGGAGAATGTAGTTTTGTTATGCAGTATTGGTGAGAAATGGGAAACATGATGGCTTCATGGTTAGTGCGCTCAACTCCAGATCAAGTGGTCCGGGTTCGAGCCCTGGTCAGGGACATTGTGTTGTGTTCTTAGGCAAGACACTTTACTCTCACAGTGCCTCTCTTCACCCAGGTGTACAAATGGGTACCGGTGAATTTAATGCGGGGGGTAACCTGTAATGGACTAGCATTCCGGCTAGTGGGGGGTAGAAATACACCTAGTCGCTTCATGTTATGGAAACCAGATTTAAGTGCCTACCTGATGAGCCATTTGGCTGGTAAACAGACTTTACCTACCTTTACCATTTATGAAAAAATATCCCTGATGTTAGAAATATTTCCTTCATGTATATTAACTCTTGGTGTAACTGTGGGTCAAAAATGTTGAGAGAGTTTCACAAAGTAAAAGGGCTAAACTGTGGATGAATTTATTTTCATAAACTGAGGGGATTGAATGACATTTTTGTTATTTGTTCAGTTGAAAATGAACGGGATGGTAGTAGCCTCAACAGGAATTCTGCTAGTATGACATGTGTTGCCTCAAGTAACAGCACTAGTTTGGGACGAGATGGAGATAGTAACGGTGTGGTTGGCTCAGATCAGGTACTGTTCATGAATATTCAGTGTTAGCCCTTTGTGGGCTTATTATTTGTCTATTACATGGGATAAATATTGTTGGATCCCTGAATTGGGTTCCTTTAGAATGTCCACCTACCTGTGGCAGCTAGTATGTCAATCACAAATTTCTTGTTTTTAGGGAAGTTTTGATGCTGTTTGCTTCAAACGGCATCATAGAACATCCTCAACTATATCTGCAAGGTCTCATCATTCGATTTCAAGTTGCACAGATGATGATGAAGAGGTTTGTTTTGTAATATTGCATTACAATATGTAAAACAATTACGGAATGATTTAAATGATGAGAATAATTGTTTTTGGACAAGAATTGTGAGTCAATTTCAAGGAGGACAGAAGAAACTGATTGAAGAGTTTTGTGTTCACAGTATTCCATTACAGTGTATAAAACTATGTAAAATCATTATTAGGTTATGATTTGCATGATATTAAGAGCATCAATTTCCTTTGAATCAGAATCATGGCAGAATTAGTAACTTTATTTGCTGTAAGTGCACTAAACAGTTCTCTGTATACTTTAGGCAGTTGTTTTGTTTGTGGAGGAGCCATCATCAAAACTGTACTGTATAGTGTGCCAACGTGTGTTTAAAGATCCTGTCATTACATCATGTGGGGTAAGATCAGGTTGTATTCAAAGGTTTTGCCATGCTTTTTCTTAAATCTTTCACTCACAAGACCTATTTGTGAATTGTCCACATCATGTACAATACATTTCTTACAATTTCTTTTCAGAGAATACAGTCTTAGTCAAGCAATATGCCCTAGGTGTTATTTGTCTTTCTGCTGATAACATTTGTGCTTCAAAATGTATTTACAGAGTAAAGAGAAGTTTTGTTTTTGGTTACTTCTGGAAATAGAAGGGTTAATTAATAACTAAGATGTATGGTTTTTGTGTGAACAAGAATTTGTAAGTTTATTGTCAGTGACCTTGACATTGTGTTATGATGTTAGCCTGCAGAGAAGGCATTATTTTCATTAGAGAATGCTGATTATTCTCTGCATAATGTGTGGCAGCTGTCTAAGATTTTTATGGCTGTGAAACTCTTGATTCAAAGAAATTTTCACCAAACTGTGAAGGACTACTGTGAGCCATCAACAGTATCACTCTGCTTTTGTTAGAAGTGTGAACATGGTTTAAGTGATACAGACAAGTACTTTTTAAATTTGTGACTGGAAATCACATTGAAATAACATTATGTTATGTTATGTTATCAAACATATTAATTGATGTTAACATGATTATGATTATAAGGCGAAGTACAAAAATTAATCCAGCACTGTACAAGTTACAAGTCAAGGATATTTGAATTTTATCAGGAATCAAGTACATATTAGTAAGATAAAATATCTTCACTGGCTATTCTCAAGCACTTGAAAATTTTACATAATGAATGTAAGCTGGTTGTTAAGTACACAGATTAAGTTTCTTAGAATCATAGCTCAATATGTATCAGAACAGAATATTTTGGTTATCAGAGTTATTGACTTAGTGTGGTTTCTTTCGAGTTATATCTTTATTCTACTGTCCTTTTTGTTTTTTTTTTTTTGTTTTTTTTTTTCAGCATACCTTTTGTCGAAGTTGTGTTCTCTCGCGATCATCTGAAAAATGCCCTGTTGATGACAACAAACTTTCAATAGTAGTTGTCAACCTTGCAGTGAGTATCTAAAATAAAATATTGTAAGGTATCACTAGTACAAATCTGTACCACTGCATTGAGTTCATTTGATAATGTGATACTGTTTTAACTCATATTGTATTTAATTTAATGACAATGTATGATTTCTTAAATGTCAATGTTGGACATTCCATTTCAGGTGTCAGAACAGATTGGTGAACTATACATCCATTGTAAATATGGCTGCAAACTAAGTTCCACAGGATCCCTGACTGATTATGAAGTGAATCTTAGTGGGTGCCCTGTGACTGTCAAGCTCTCCAATAGGCAGTAAGTCATTCATGATATTGTTATGATTAACCAAATTGTGGTAAAAAGGGAGGAAAATAGTTTTTTTTATGATGACAAGGCAAGAGCAACTCTGTTCCTGCTTGTACAACTTAATTCTTTAACACTCAATAAAAACTCTGCTGATTACATTTTGTGTTTGTGTTGCAGTGACCATGAGAGAAATTGTCAGTATGCTCCCACTCAGTGTCCAAATAGTTTACATTGTCCTACTCTACTAAAGATGGTGGGTGACAAAAACCTATTTTATATTTTACACTTGGGCAGGGGTTTCAATAACCTTTTCCATATTTGGCTGCAGATGGTGTGATAGGCATGTAAGTGCTGTAATGTTAATACATGGCCTGCTTTTAGGCTAAACAAATGGAGGTCTCACAGGCAACAGTGGACTGTCAGTAACTAGCTTTTATTTTGTTTCAAGGGGCTAGATTTCAACAATTTCCAGGATGGGGAAATTTAACTACTTGTACAAGAATATTGTGCCACTTGTTTTTGAATTACAATCATTGATTGGTGCAATTTTTTAACTTTTGTTAGGATCTTGAAGATCATTTACAAGTCTGTGAACACATGAAATGTCCACACCAAAAATATGGGTAAATAATATCATGGCAATGTGTACAATGTGCTATGCAATCCACAATGTGTAATATGCAAACATTTTAACAACAAAACCGGTAAAATTGAAGAAGAGCTCCCCAAAATATCTGTCGGCCGACTGTTCACTGACAGTTGGCCGACATAATGAAAACAAATTTAGAAATCAGTAAATTAGACTGTCATCTTGGTTAGTTTGAACTCTCACAATAACCTCAAAATGAATTTTGACAAACACTATGCGATAGAGGTAAATTTCGAGTGCGAGGCGTTATTGGCCATATCGATCTTCATTTATGTGAACTTAATGTGTAGTATCTGACTGACACATTTCGTTCCGCTGAAATTGGAAGAGTTTAGTTACTTAGATTTAGCAATATGATTAAAGTTTTTTCAAAGACTCACAAAATTGCACGAGCCTGTGCTTTCGTTGTTTCTGTTGTGTTTTTGTTGTGCTTTCTGTGTTTCATTCACGAACAGTCAGCTGACAGTCGGCCGACAGATATTTTGCAACTGTCAGTTAATTTGGTTCGGCAGGGGACGTTAAAGAACCCACTTCACGAGGTTACAGTGAGGGGGTCTGGCCTGTTTATTAGGAATTGGGGGCAGGGGGCATCTGTAAAATTTCTTCTTTATTAATTGTAAACTGCTGCTGACAGTCTGGAAAAAGTCCCTCGCACATTGTTGTCAAGCGCATTAGAACATTGCATGGAAATGCGCTATAGAAACTGATATTATTATTATTATTATTATTATTATTATTATTATTATTTTTGGGGAGCTCTTCTTCAATTGTACCACAAAACCAAATTCTGCGAAGTTGAGAACTAATATCATAAGAATTATGTGGCAGAAAGTAACAAGAATTTCTCTTGGGAGTAAAAGGGTCCATTTAACTTCAGTTGATATGTAAATTCCCCTACAACTTAATAATTAATGATATTTTCATTTTCATTTAGTTAAATGTTTTCAACTGTTTTTTTTTAGCTGCCACATGGAAGGTAATCATAAAGAAGTCAGACTTCATCTTGAGACATGCAAGTTTGAAGCTGTCAAGGTACTTTTTTTTTTGGTGGTCTATTATAGGTTACAGTTTTTGAACTTTGTATGATGAATGACCATTTTCTATTTTTAACAATATTTAGGAATTCCTGCAACATACTGATAAGAGAATGGAAGAACTTAAAACAATGTTGAAAGATAAAGACCAGGTATAAACATGACTTAATGCAAATTATTGTAAAATTATTGTATATGTACATAACTTCATGAACATTCAGGTCCTGTACATGCTATGTCTTTGGTTTGGTTGGTCATAAACCCTTAAACTCCCAAGATCTGATTGTTAATTCTCCCTCTAACTGCTTCACATTTCCTAGTAAATTACTCGCAAGAATTTGGTGTTAGGTCAGGATAGCAACTTCTACCTGATAAGTCTGAGTATTCTCATCACCTGTTTGCTGGATATTGTTTGGATATTATAGGGAGAAGTTGCATTTTAATCACTTCTGGCAGCCAAAGGGTTAAGTTATCTCTGTTTGGTGTAATTTTTTTTTTTCAGGAAATTGTTTTCCTGAAGGCAATGATACTGAAGCTGACAGAACGAGTTGACAGAATGGAAAAAACTGTAGACATCAGAATAGGTACATGAAAAATCAAAACTTTAGTTTGAGGTTGAGAAGAAAATAGTTTTCAATTTACCCCTGTGGTTTTTTTATTGCTATAACTCCAGATCTTTTAGATGAGAGCCAAACAAAGTTATCCTCAGACCTACTGGATTCAAGACAAAGTGTTTCCCAGATACAGGTACAAACATGTACATGTAGATGATGCTGGCCTGGTGAAAATAATGCTTCCAAGGGCTGTTGCCACCATTTTGTCCTTTTTATCTGGTGTCAGTGGCTAGAATTTATTGTATTCTTGATGTATTTGAACCATGTGCAAATAAGGATCATTACTAACTTATCAAAAGTTTTCTTTACATTCTATATTTTGATGTAATTTTTTCATTGTACATGTAAAACAGACTGATTTGGCCAATGTAGAGGCAAGGCTCTGGGGTGTGGGAAGTAAGTAGTCATGTCTTGTTTGTTGAAATGGAATGTAGAAGGTCTCTTTTTGTCAGATTAATTTTTTTCAGCAACCTGAAAAGTATGATATTAAGAGTACTGATTTGGATGTAACTGTTTTCTTTCAGCGTTTGATATCCAACCATTATTTAAGTGCAAAGGAACTTTTGTTGGTCACCAGGTAGAGATTGTATGCTTATTAAAACTTCTCTTAGTGTGAATTGTATTAGAAATCCAAGTTACAAGGAACTCAGGTATGAAGCAGTGTTGAGATTATGTTAAGTTTAAGCCGTATTGATTTGTTTGTTTATGCTTAATCGTAAGATTAGTCAGGCATCCCTAGCTAGGATAGCTGCGGAGGCTGGGAACGAAAGAAAAACATGGGATAGAAAAAAAAAAAAGTACATGGAGAGAGTTGAAAAACTTAGAGAAGTCAGAATAAGACTGTTCAGTTTATTCAATTGAAAGTGAGTCGTGAGTATATTGTCAGAAGAAGCATTTCCGACAGCAGTATGTTGGAAGCGAGTCAAATTTTAGTGGTTTCTAATTTCTACCCCCTCCCCCTCCTCCAAGAACTAGCTCATTAAAATAAATTAAACGAAATAAGTGACTTTTTTTTTTAATGAACTGGTTCTGACAGGTAACACGTGAACTGCAATTTGAGAGCTTGCAGAAAGAGTTGTTTCTGTGTTCCATATAAGGCGGGTTTGATCATAAAATATTAATTTATAAACATGACCATATTTTAAATTGTGAATGAAGCGTTTACTGTGAGCTCTTTGTATTTTCTTTAGGGTCCTGTGTGGACTTTGTGTAGCCATGGTGAATGGCTTTTTAGTGGCTCTTCTGACAAGACTATTAAGGTAAGGTTCAAATCATCAGAGAGATAAAGAAGTTGATAAGACGTGCAGGATATGTCATCTAAAACAATTCTTCAGCTCTAATCTCGTTAAAAATGTAGTAACTGCTCAAAGGAGCACGTTTTGGTATCAAAACACTCAAACGTTTTTCGTGTAGTACATTTACAGACATTTTCTGGTAAATTTCTTAATTTTTTACAACAAGAAATTAAATAATCTGAGTTTTGTCTGCTCAGCTATAAAGTACACGTGGATGTGGAGAAGGCCCTTTTTTTGACTGAATTAAAAGTTAAGATCGATTGTGAATCCCACCTCTGTGATACCCGTTATTTTGAAAGTGTTCTACTGTTTTCATTTTTGTATTCTGCATTATCAAAGTTATCGACTTCCTTTGTTTTGGCATCGAAATTTCTCACGTCAAATTAAACCTGATTGAGAGTATTTCAGAGTCATCTTTTGCTTTTATGTTTTTAAGGTGTGGGACACTCTAACGACCTACAAGTGTGTGAAGACTCTTGAAGGACACAGTGGCATTGTCCTGGCCTTGTGTACTCATGAGTAGGTTGCAATAAGAGATTTAAAGAGGATTATTTAAAAAAAAAAAAAAGCTCTTATCTTGTTTATCTACTATATTTTAGCCAAGAAGTCATGTGCTTTCCATCAGTCACATCATTCTTTGTTTTTCTGTGGCGAGTCTTTCTCGTGGACAGTTGAACCTCTCCACACCGGCCACCTCGAGGACAGATTAAAGTGGCCGTTGTGGAGAGATGGTCGTCATAGGAAAGTAGGAGTGTAATGTACGGACAGCCCGAAGGGACCGAAAAAAAAGTGGCCGTTGTGGAGAGGTGGTCGGTAATGGAGGTTCGACTGTATTTTATTACCTTGGTCATGGTAAACGCGCGCGGTTTTCATATGCAGCATACTTTCCTTTTATTTAAATTAAACCTTTTTTCCCCTAACCTTTTATAGTCTCGCTTTTACTCAGTATTAATAGGAATGATATTTTAATTGATTTTATCCGCGTTTTTCTGCCGCAAAAGTTGGCGAATTGTTATTGCAGTAATCCATCCCCACACTACCTCAACAACTTAGGTTTTTTTGTTTTCCTTCTTCTTCTCATAGGAAGAAGCTTTACAGTGGGTCAGCAGACTGCACCATTAATGTAAGATTTCTAGTGGGCCATTTTTGATATTCGAAGAAATTCGTCTGATTCGAGCTATTTGTTGACGTTACTGTTTTGTTGATAGGTTTGGTGCCTTGAGGAGCTTGAACTGCTCGATTCAATTCGTGGTCACGAAAATCCGGTTTGTACCCTGGTAACAAAGAGAAAAATGTTATTCAGTGGATCTCTCAAGAAAATCAAGGTATCTACAGTCAGCTGGAACAATCGTTCTTTGAGCTGTGGGATAAAAATTTAAAAAACAACAAGTTTAAATGTTTTTTTTCCACGAAGGTGTGGAACCTGCAGACCATGGAACTTATTCAAGAACTTACGGGTCTCAATCACTGGGTGCGCGCGTTAGTAGCCTCAGAAAGGCACCTCTTCAGCGGCTCCTATCAGACTATTAAGGTACCCTGTCAGAATTTCTTTTGTACAGTAACAACTCGAAAAATTCATTAATCTGCTTTTTTGGGATGTCATTTATTTCCTTTTCCTCAAATTAATTGTAGCAGAAAAATCTGAAAGGCCGAGCTCATCTAGCGAAGAATTGATTTATTTTCGCTTGGAGATAGACGCTGATATCTTTAGGAGGGCTTTAGTATGAGGGACTTTTCACTTTTATAGCTGCCGGAGAAGAGCCTTAACGCAACCGTTACAGCTTTTGTGAGTTGTTTCCATGTACCTCCGACGCAGGCTTACATTTCAAGCTGACGCTATATCTGGTTTGTCTTTCAGTTGTGGGATCTGGACACGCTGGAGTGTGTACGGGTCCTTCAGACTTCAGGAGGCAGCGTGTATTCCCTAGCGGTCACTAAGGAGTACATCGTGTGTGGAACATACGAGAACCAAATACAGGTAACATGTAATTCGACCAATCTGGGAAAATCGCGTTATTTTGCTGAACTTTTTATCGGTTTGTCATGATTATGACTCTGACTATGGTTTTGTCAATTCAGGTTTACGATGTCAACACTCACAAACATTTGGAAACTTTAAATGGTGAGTGAACGATTTATTTTTAGCGTTTTACGAACTTTAAAATCGTCGCTGAGTAGATTTAGGTGGGAAAAAGTTCGCTGAATACCTCTCTGTCTTATCGAGATATTTTCATTTCAAGAGCCTTTCAGTTAATTTCGTGATTTCTGCTCTGAAATCTCCCAAGTATACAGGCGTTCACTACGACGGAAACACATTTTAGAATTACACTAAAGGGCGTTAACCGGGAAAATATGCCTCTTACTTTCCTTTCACATGTTAGAAAAAAAAGTTTGAAACTTTCACCTCCAATTGATCTGTGATATTTGCCAGTTCTTTTCACTCCTTCGTCCCTTCGCCAAACCCTCTAAAATGACTTGTGGGTTATGTTTCGCTCTTGTTCAAATGATCAAACTCCTTTCATTAACCATTAAGGTTTATATGTTTGATAAGCCTTTCTCCTATTCGCCTATGTATACGTTTATTGTGTTTTCTTACCATTTCGGCGAAATGGTAAGAAAACACAAAAGTTTGCGTTTCGCTGTATGATTGGTGTAGATCACTGTTGGTATCACGACAACATAATTTAAGAAAAATCCCTGATTGCTCTCTTTGATAAAAGAAGAATAGAACCATACAGTCCGCGCAGTTAATTTGAACGGGAAAAAAAGATAGAACATTGCGATAAATGAACCCAAGGAGCTGGAAAAGCTTTTGGAACCAACGACGTTCGGATTGTGCTGTCTTGCTTTCTCAAATGTCACGAGAGGTTCAAGATTTCATTATATATTAAAATTCATGCACCTTTCTATGATTGTATAATTGATATCGTGCGATTACTCTTTTATTTCATAATTCTGCTTTTCAAATTCGGAATTACTGAGGAAGTCATGTCGGTGTCGGCCTCAAACTAAAATCTAAAGCCAGTCGACGAGGCGAATCAGGGAATCTTGTCATTTTTATACTGAAAGGAGTGGCGGATTATATTCTTCAAAGCTTAGAACGACCGCATGAACCTACGCTAAATGAGCGGCACTTTACTTGCAATTTTTATTTTTGATTTGTGCTAGAGAAATTTGTCTTAAAGATTCCTTTTCCCAAAACGTTTCTTTTTTGTGGTGTCATTTGCCGTGATGAAATGGTCTTCCAGACACTCACCACAAGTTATTTGTTGCGTGATTTCATGTATGTTTTTTTTAATTATGAAGCACTTACATGATCTAATCGTTTGTTCGACTACTCGAAATGAAATTAGCGTTATAAATGTTCAGTCGACATGACCAAACTATAAACTACTTTTAGGCAGTGAACGTAATAAAACTTACAACGTACGCTCACGATATAAAAGAACTGAACACACTTTACCAAGCAAAGAGTGGAAATGCAGCGAATGAATTTGTTTTGCGCGAAGTCATGACCAGTCGTTGAGTATTTTGTGGCAACATTTATTTAACTTTGACATTGGGACTGACCTTTCCTTTTAACACACACTTGTGCTTTCCTCAGCTTTTACGAAAACAATGCTTTCATTCGTTGAAAGAATTAAATCGTCCCACATAACTCAAGAATAACCCCGTCTATCTTTTTGACAGGGAAATTCTCTTCACTGTTTCGTGGTAGTCTCTAAAAGAAGTGAAATAAAAAGAAAATTATGCATTGTTTGAGTATTTTACATCAACTCGGTCTTGTTTATCTGTTTCCTCCTTTTGGCCGTCGTTCTTTTTCATTCTATCGAACAATATTTCATAAAGATCCAATGCCTTGAAAATGTGGAGCACCAGCGAGTAAAGGTCTTCCTGTGATAACTTCTTAGCATTTTCAGTCAGCGTGTTGCTGTTCCTCTTCATAAAGTAGTCATCGATTTCATCAGAGGGCATTACACTATGTGACGAGCTACGTTTCCTTCCGTTTGGAACTAACCAACTGTTTACTTCTGTCTGTGCCACCGATAAGGTTGGTTCTCTCGACTGTAGTCTTCCAAGTCTTTCCTTTTGATCTTGTGCAAATGTTTCCGTGAAGCATGTCTTGCTTGCTTGGGGTCGTTGCTTTGGAGTTTCCAATGTATCTGTCCATGTTTCGTCATCCAAGTTCCAATTTGCCATCTCGCGTTTTCTCCGCTGACCTAGTTCTATCATAGAGGGGTATCAAAGGTGAACTGATGTCTGTGATGTTTTGCGCTGCAATTTATGTTTATGGATTGTCACGTGGTCTCCTCATGTCACACAAGCTCACCAATCAGCGCTGCCTAAAATATTTTTTATCAACCGAAGGGAGCGTCTTGTTTTTCAAACTCGGAGAGGACATTAGAAGTTCTCTGACACGTACTCGTCGTCAGGGAATGCATCTTTACCAAACAAAAAAAAGAAAAACAAACAAACAAAAAGCAGAGCAAAACAGAAAGAAACTGAAAAAAGACAGCAACAACAGAAAACAGAGGGAGTATTGAACAAAATAATGATGTAATCGTGAAAATGCTGTTTTGTTTATATTTTTTCATATTTTTATGCTTTTTCCACGAACGTTTTTAGCACATTTTTGTCCCATAGGTTGCCCAACACCGTTTTGAAATATGTCAGTATGAAATATGTCAGTTGGACAGTGTGCAACTGTGATCATAGAATCTGTAAATAACAAGGAACGCATCTTTTTCTTGCTCAGCCTGAAGATTAAGAGATGGGAAAAATGCTGATCTAACTAATAATGAACTAATAACACAGTAAACCAGAAAAGAAACTCTCCTCGTAAATGGCACCACTAAGTTATTTTTATTTTTTATTTCCTTTTTTTTTTTTTTCTGTTCTCAGGTCATGTTGGTACAGTGTACGGCCTGGCCGTGTTGAGTGCTCCAGGCCAAACTCGTTTGTTCAGTGCTTCTTACGACAGATCGCTGAGGGTAACTTAATTATTGTTTATTGCTCTGAATAGGCAAATCCCAACAGTTCTCCCATGTTGTCTATTTAAGCAGTAGACGGCACCTTCTGTTGTGTCACTTGCGAGATAACCCACGCGAAATGTAGCGAGAACTCCAGAATATTAATTAATCATGAGCTGAAGGTGGGCAAAATTTAGAGTTTTTTTTTTTATACCATTGGTACGATAAAGGATTGGATTTTTTACAAGTCACAGCGTTGGTAACATGGCATGGCGGCATCAGCATCTATTTCACAATTCCCTATAAAGCATGGCACGACGTCAGGTGTAGATGAATATGACCAACACCATACTGTAGTTCTTTCGCTTTCATGGTTATTAGGTGCTATCAGGATCATTCCATTTCTTGTCAAGGGTATTCTTTTCTTTAAGGTAGATTTTTTTTAATCGATCGCCATTCTGGAGAGGAGTATATACTCCAAAGAGATTAAAACTAAGCTAAACTAATACTGACTACAATTACGCTTTCTTGGAGGGACGTATTTGGAAAAGTTTAGTCTCAACGCTTTCCCTCGCTGGCTCTCTCAGTACTTCAAAGGGAATTTCTTATACAGTGATACCAAAATTGAAGATGATTTTCACTTACTTTTTCTGGTAATCCTTTTTAGGTCTGGAATTTGGAGAGCTTTACTTGTGTCCAGACTTTACTCCGCCACCAAGGAAGCGTGGCTGCCCTGGCTGTAACAAAAGGAAGGATATTTTCTGGCGCAGTAGATAGTACTGTAAAGGTTGGTCTTTTGTGAATGGTGTGAACTTTTCATTGTTCCGTTGGATAGTCTTGTCACGCTTACAGATATGGATGCTCCAGATATGGATGCCTAATAGACCTTACATTAGGAGTTCAGCTCGTTTTTTCAATTCTTGTTGAAGTTTGCGCGATGATTACGATAGCTACATCCAAGGTGTTATCTCTTATTTTATAGCGTAACCGCATGGTTAACACTTCATAAGATTTTTATTCTCTCTCCTACATTTTCCTTGTTTGTCTTAGGTATGGCAGTGAGTAACAAGCTGTGGAAAAGAATTTTGGATTCTTCGATGGTTTTTGAGTTTTTCTTGAACCAAACTTCCACTGAAGACTTAATGTGTGTGGCCATACACCAAAGGAATTAATGGATAGTGGCGTCTCTTGCTGAAACACCCCCACCCCCCCCCCTCCCAACAATGAATGATGTGAGAGACGAACTTCCTTTACAAGGATGGTAAAAGTTGTTTCGAAATCGCCGTTTGGATTGGCTGATCATTGCCAGTCTAAGGATATCAGATTTTTTGACAAGCTCTTTTAGAGTAACATTCTATCGATTCGCAAAAAGGAAGAAACTTTTACCCTTGAATAAGTACTTTTATTTGGTGAGCTGAAACTTTACAGTTGTCTACCACGATCGAGTCCAGGGTGCATTTTTGCGCTAAAACTGATGAGGTGATAACAGTTAGTAGGAGACCGAGCTTGCTGTCCAGTCCACAGATGATATGCTTGAGAGTTGGGATTCCGTTACCAAGTTTTATCAAGCCACAACATGGAAATTCATGTAAACTCGTGGAAAGAAATGGCCAAAAACCAATCTCTGTTTAGGTAGTGTCAAGTCGTTTTGCTTCTCGATTAGAGCAATTTTCAATGGTGTCGAAAGGAACCTGCAGTGGTTTTACTGTGATTGGTCCAGAAAACTCGCGCGATTCTCTAAACCAATTAGATGCGAAACTTAAACCAATCACAACTTAGTCACCCGCGTTTTAAGCAGTTTGGTTGTTTTCACATTGAGTTGCTATTGGCTGGTAAAGTATTTTCATTTCTTTTGACCGGCCGGTGTGATTACTTTGCAAAAGGCTTTGGTTTTACGACTGTTATCGAACAGCGCTCTATGAAGGGTAAACTGCATTTATTGTAGATCTAAGAAGTAACGTTCCGATGCAAACTAGTTTACTTGGTTAGAGACCTAAACAGAAAACTTTACAGGTTTTAATCACAGTCCCAGGTTCTTTATCACTTACAGTTCGAAGCCCCTCCCCCCATTTCCACCCCTCCTCCCTAAGTCGGGTACCCGGTATTACTTGGGATAAAGAGTGTTCGTATTATCAAGTTAGAGATTTGCTATTAGGGGCCATCTAATTCTATATTAATTTTGTAAATTTTGTTATAAATTGATTTTGTAAATACTTGTAAATAACATCACTTTTCAAGTTTGAAATAAACTTGAGTATTGTGCTTTCTTTGCTAAAAAGTGAGTGAAGCATTGGACTGACGGAAAGGCGTACAACTACCGAACGTCTCCTCTTTTAGCTCCCTAATTCCTCAAATACAATTAACAACGGAAGAAGAGAAAATCCCCTTTCTAACAAAGTTTACACCCCACTGAAATCGACGAAGCGATTCTAAACTGATTACGTAACGTTTTCTCACTTCATAAATAGCGAGGGAACTTATTTACAACTTCAACCAGTACAACCTGTACAAAAGCGTTTTCTTTAAACATGGTTTAGCCATGGTTAAGCCATTGTTTTTCTTGCAAGAGACTGATATCAGATTTCACAACAAAAGCAATATTTCGGTATATTTCGCCAGTCCTGTATTAGAATAGATAGTAGATCTAAGCCTCTCGGCATTTCTTGGAAGAATTCCTCGTTGCAAAACGTACACAATAAATATCAGTCGACAGACAGTTGCAAATTTCATGAAATGTCAGCTGTCCATCGGATGAAAGTGTTGGGCGGCAAATGCTCTGGCTTCAGCGATTCTTGAGCGGCTAGAAATAAAATCAGAAAGTAATACTGTTATTTTTAAAATGTAGAAAAATTGTCTCCAAACATTTTCTAGTCGTTTGCAATAAAAGTCAAACCAACAACTCGTCTAAATGTACGATGAATTTTTTGTTACTTACTGAAATACTTTGATTGCATCACACATCCCTTCTAAATAAAGAGAGTTCTTTTTCTTTTTTCACAATTAAACCTCTAGCTCAAAATTAGTGCCTCAGTGGATGAGTTTTCCCTATCAGTAACATTTTTGTCCTGTCTTGGGCAATCTTTCGTTGTCTCGAGTAATGTAAGAACCCCACACTGACCTGCTGCATCGACTGCCGGGTCTGTCCTCCCCACCCGTTCCGGGTCGGGAAAAATTACTTAACTCTCGATCAAACGCTGACGCCTCTGAAACGAAAAAGATAACATACTATGATCGATGAGGTTAAGACTGGTACCCTTTCAAGTCGAACTGCATTTAAAGTAATCCAAAAAAGACTTGTTTTTCAAAGTTTTTACTAGTTGGAAAACAAATTTGAGTCTGGCCTGATCTCCACGCGAATCCTTCAAACAAATCCTTCAAAAAATCTCATTTGCTGGAAACGAACTTTCTTGTTAAACCGTAAAGCATGAAATCTTTCTCTTCGCAACAATCACATATTTAAAAACGCCGCTTTCCGTATTGCACTGACTCTTGTTGGTCAAAGAGACAAATCTCTAAGAGGTTTATTTTCCCGACCTAGTCCGTGTGGAAAAAAAATTTGGGCGTTGATGTGTTTTATACCTGATGACAGATGGTCTCGTGTGGTTAAGTTCGTTTTTAAAGGCAGAGATTCAAACAGATCTTTTACCATATCGAACCTGGGGGAGATAAAAACAAGGCAGCTACTCATAACATGAACATTTCCAAGCTCATACTTAATACCTTATCATTTACTGCCTCTGGTTCTCTGGCAAAGAAATAAAAGTTCCAAGAGAAGATTTCTCACCTTGAAGCAATAGACGATTCAAACGATGTTTGCTCAAGTTCTGTTGCTTTAATCAGCTCCTCGACGTGTTTCGCACTTAAGACTTGAAGAAAACAAAGGAGAAAGAACATGGATTAAAGAAATTGTGAGGCAAAAAAAGAGAAAACAAAAAAGACAAAAGCCCCCCTCCAATCAAACGCTTCCGTACCTTGTGATGCAGACATGGGCCTCATAGGAGGGGGTGCGCGTGACTGCCCTGTGCTTGGTCTCTTGCGTGACACCTGCGTGGCAAAAATGTTCGTGAGGAAGGGAAATAGCATTTAGAATTTAAATAGAGAAAGTAAAAGACCCAGAAAAAGGATCAAGAAAAACTCAAGAATTACTATAAATATCAACAAACCAGACTTACCTTGTCAAGGAATTCCAATGAAGGAAGGTTTTGAAATATCTGACGATGACAACTACAAGGCAAACACATCAGTGCAGAAGAAAAGGAAGATTCGAAATTAGCTCAAGGCACTACAATACTTCATTCATCATTTTCTTGCTTCATTCCACATGAAAAACTAAGTTTAAAGAAAAAAGTTTAACCTGGGATGATAACAATGACTCACCCAAATCAATTGTTAACTAATTGCCTAACATATACATTACCATTACCAGATCTGAAGTGATACCAATAGAACAATATCAAAACTACGATTTTTTTTCAATTTTATTATATATTCTATTATCATTTCAGTCAAACTTTGCTGCTTTATCTTGTTACAGGTAAACATAAATCTAAAGCTTACCTAAATGTGTCAGCAGATTCGCATGGATTTCCTGAAACAAAAATGGTTGAGCTGATGCCATTCAAAAATATTTGAAAGAACAAATTATCTAATTTTTCAATGACACTTTTGTTTATTAATTCAATAACAAAAAACAAATTGCGATTCTGTGAATTATCACAGGATAATAACTTCTGATACAATGAATATATGATCTTCATATATTTTGAACTGCGGTTGTAGATACGTATGATGCACGATCCTCGCAGTAGAGAGCGCTATTTATGCAATAGCGAAAATCAGACCTGAAAAAAATCAGGCCTGTACGGGATTCAAACCACTGACCTCTGCGATACTAGTACAGCGCTCAACCTATTGAGCTAACAAGCCAACTGGGATCAGGCCGTTAAGTTGATTCATAATAAACCCGTGATGATAAATCTGATACAATGAATATATGAAGTTCATATATTTTGAACTGCGGTTGTAGATACGTATGATGCACGATCCTCGCAGTAGAGAGCGCTATTTATGCAATAGCGAAAATCAGACCTGGAAAAAATCAGGCCTGTACGGTCGTATCGCAGAGGTCAGTGGTTCGAATCCCGTACAGGCCTGATTTTTTTCAGGTCAGATTTTCGCTATTGCATAAATAGCGCTCTCTACTGCGAGGATCGTGCATCATACGTATAATAACCTCTCTTAGCATAAGTAATAGCCCATTCGCGAATTACCCTTGGCCTCATTTTCAAAACGAGTCCTCGTGCTAATCCTTTCATATGATAATAAGTTTCCATTCACATGGAAATTAAATTGATTTCATTTTCAAAAAGAATGGTTGAGCACGAGGACTCGTTTTGAGAACGAGGCCAAGGGTAATTCGCAAATGGGCTATTGTGGAATAGAAAATCATAACTAGCTAGTTAAAAATGAAAATTACCTGCCACAGTTAGCTCTGCAAGGGTAGAAATGCTTGACAATGTGAACTGTAATGAAACAAAGGAGATCATTGTTTTCAAGAACTATTCATGAGCTAGTTCAATTGGTGAATGAGTGTATAAAGAACAAAATGAGAATTTAACAAAGGTTTCAATAATCACCAGTTCTTCAATGGTTGTTATGGCATTGTTGGACACCTCCAAGATTTCCAAAGAAGAAAACTGGCTGGCAAACAACTGTAATGCAAATTTATACCACAAAGTGAAGATAAATTAAGAGTTTACCAAGAAAAGCATTGTTCTGTGAAGGCTTTAGGTCCCATCAATTACTAGACAGATAGGAGACATGTTCAATTGACACCAGCAGATTGACAACTAATGTGTTCAAAACTGTGATTAGCTAGTCTGGCAGTACAACTGACAGTATCTACTGAAAAGACATCAAAAACAACTTGTAAGATATCTCTTCCACAATGTTACTGGATAAACCTAACCTTCACTTCTGTTATTCTGTTGTTTGATAGATACAATTCTTGCAGAGCCCTGAAAATTGAAAGTAAGTCTTGGTGTTGCTGACATCAAAAGGCATTTTAACATCCCAATAGTGCCTGTAAATATCAACTTTTAGCACCACACATTACATAAATTATACATTATAAAGATTAGTGAAAATTTAGCAAGGTTTTTGGTAAAAAAAAAAGATCGTAACTCTCCTTAAGTTACCATACTTCAAACATACCCATGATAAGACATAAGGAAAAAAAAAGCACTTTACCTCAATTTGCCTAGAGAGTCCAGAGAAACTATCTCATTATTGTCCACTCTTAAAACCTTTTAATAACAAAAAGAATACTTTTTACAAAATCATATGATTGAGCTGCTCCCTGAGACAGTTGTCCCAAATACTTACAGTTAAACTAGAGAGACTCCTCATTCCTGACAAATCTGAGATTTGATTTTTGGAGGCATCAAGATCTTGAATCTGAAAAAAAATTACCAAGTCACTTTGAAGAAAAAATTAAATCTAATTACCTTTTAATAACAGCGTATTCACTTGTAAAAAGAGAGTCAAACCATACATTCTGTAACTCCTTACCTTTTTACATCTTCCTAAATCAGGAATTTTGCCGATTTTATTGTTTGACACATCAAGCTCCTCAAGTGCAGGGAGGGCATTGATGGCCTGCCAACAACAAATGACATAATTATGTATTTATATATTTACTGATACCTGACATAGAGTGGGATTGGCAGACTGCTTTGTGGTGAACATGATGCTGAAACAACATTCAGCAGAACCGATTTGTAGACCTGCCAGTGGGTGGTCAATAATGGAGAAAGATGCCATGTGCTACATCATAAAGCCTTGCCAAAACATTTTCAGTCACCCACCACCACCTCCTCCCCCCTCCCGCAAACTTCTAAGCCCCTATGTATTAAATTCTGGAAATAACTAAGCAACTAAAAGCATATAAAATCTTTAGTAAAAAATAATCCATAGACACGATGTGCTGAGGGGTAACTAAATATACATAATGAAAGCTGAAATAAATGACAGAATCATTTAAGGATCTACAAACTACATTAAACACCAAATAGTTTTTAGAGAAATGACATGTCACTCATTGAATGAACTTACAGAAATATCTGTTATATTGTTGCAGCTAATGTCCAGGATAGTGATTTGTGAGCAACAACCAAACTCTCTGAAGTCAATCTTAGAAAGACAATTGCTATCAAGCCTCAGAACTTTGAGTTTTCTCACATGCTGTAGACCTTTGTCTTGAAAATAATAAAAGAAGAACTGATCACCATGTAATGTTGTTCAATATCATTTCTTTATTATATGGCTGTGTCTCACAAGGACTGGGAACTACCGAATTCATGAATTTGATTGGCTGAAATCAATATTGAAAGCGGTCTAGATTTTCCCATCTAGACCGGCATCTAGACTGGTCTAGAAAAAAAAGGTACAAAGAATATAAAATATAAGACAGCCATATAATAAACATCTTATTAACCGGGCTAGGTCGGTCTGTATGGGAGAATCTTGACCTCGGTCGCTGGTACAGACCTCACTGCATTTGGTCTGTACTGGCGACTTCAGTCAAGATTCTCCCATACAGACCTCCTGCTCAGTTAATAAGAACTAAGTTTAAGAAGTCATTTTTGAGAGGTCTATGAAAGATGATTGATTATACCAACAAAGTAACTGATTTTTAATTACCTTTGGCTCTAGTTACCTTGTATATATTTCAACCCTTTAACTCCCAGAAGTGATTAACAAGTAAATTCTCCCTATAATATTCATACATTATCATGCAAACAAGTAATGAGAATATTCAAACTTATCAGGTAGAATTCATCTTGATCCAACAACAAATTCTCATAACTAATTCACAAGGAGATGTATAGCTTGTTAGAGGGAAGAATTAACAATCACAGCTTGGGAATTAAAAGATTTAATATTTAATAAATTAATAAAGGTAACTTACTCACAACATAATATATATTTAATAAATTAATAAAGGTTGCTTACTCACAACATAATGTATATTTCAAACTTCACAGCTTAAAGTTAGTGAGCTTACCTATGCTTTTAATCTTGTTGTGTTGAAGAAGAAGATTGTTCAGTTCTTTACAGCTAGACAGAAAGAAAATAGACAGCCAAAGATTGAAAATTTTGATTACTCTGTTACAATTACACATTCAGCTCAAGTCACAATTTCCATCAAAATCTATGTATGTGGCTCAGAATGAACCAACTATAGATCAGAAATTATAAATTATAACTCAATCAACTGAGAGTAAACCAATATAAAAAAAATATAATATGTAATATATATGTAAAATGTAAAATGTAATATCACTTAAAATTATTGGTGATTTTTCATAATTGGTAATCGAAACACTTACTAATTCACTTAACACTTAATTTAATTGTATGTATTAAGATATTTTTAACACTTCCAGTATGAAGTTCTAATGTGTCACAATCCTTTATGCATTAAAGGAGTTAATCCTAAAAACAGGCAGACTTACCTGTCTAAACCACTGATTTCTGTAATCTCATTGGCATAAAGTTTTAGTTCTCTAAGATCCTAAAATATAAGAAATAAATTTTCCTAATACACCAAGAAAGAAGCAGGGATGGCCAGTACATTGAGTACCAAGATATCATTTCAGACTGGTCAAAGTTCAACCTAATGGCTCCTAAACCAAAGCACACAAAACTAAAATCTCCAAAGAGAATTAAGTTGTGTGTGAGCACAGTCTGCATCCAGTGACAGTAGCTTGTGTCCTATTTTGAAAATGGACATGAATTATAGCTTTACAATAAAGAATCTAAATCAAATCCAATCCTTGCTCTTTGTTTCTTCATTGGGGAGTTATTTGAGGTGATTAAACTGCTCATCCTGAAAAGAATTTTATGTACTCTAACAATGACATGACTAACTTACACAATTTTTCTCCAAGTCACCTGGCATAACATGCTTTATTTTGTTGCATCCCAAATCCAGGATTTTGAGTTTTGGAAACTGCATAAACCAAAGGACAAAGTAGTCATTAAACAAGAAACATTTTTTAAAACAACAAAAGACAGGTCCGAAGTTTTTTATGTAGCCTTCTATCATGTTAATTAATTACGCCATATAAAGTCAAACCAAATCTTAGGAACCTCAGTTCCCTTATCAGGTCACAATTATAAACAGCAGTAATGCTATGTATTTCCAGCAGAGTCCTACTGTAATAATACAATGATGAAAATGAATTCACACAATATTTCTAACTGCCATTAAAGGGGAATGTTTATGTATATCATTTTATAATTAATTATGAGATAATCTATTCACCTCCTTTAAACTTGGCACTTGTTCTAGGGATTGTCTGTTAAGATTGATCTCAAAAACCCTTCCACTGTCAACTTCTTGACATCTTTCAAGCTGAGTATAGTACACATGATTGTTTAACAACAGCAACATTTTTGACATTCATAGGTCAAAGTTAGTACAAATGAATATTAATTAAAGGTAAATTCTATTTCCAGGTTCAGTCATGCATAACCCTGGTAACGATCACGACTAGAATCATTGGAAAGTCTGTTGTTACAGCACAAAACTAACTTTATTAAACTTTAATAAACTAACTTCGTTAAATTTTATTAAATTTTCTGATGATTAGGAGATTTTGGGAAGGGTGCATCTTATTTAATTAAGCAGAAGATGTGCTCTTAGCTTATGTATTATTATATTATTATTAGTGACAAATTGTTAAACAGTTTCAACTCTTTCTCATACTAATCAGTGTTTTTTATTGTTCAAATGTACCTTTGATTTCAGATCACGGTTATAAACCTTATGTTAGAAATTGAAAGATTTATAATTCTTTACTTTGGCATACAGCATCTATTTGTAGCGTAATAAAATTGAGGTATGCAAACAAACCAAAAAAAAAAAACAGTGACGGGTCGGCAAATAAATCCGACTGGGGTTGTTGATCTGGGAAATGCAGTAAGCTTAAATATTTTACCTCGTGCAGAAATCGAAACAGTGGGTTTTGTTCATCACATGGAGTTGTTTGTCTTCTCGTCAAAGGACTCATTACACAGCGGTAAAACCAAAATGGAGGAACCAGTAAGACTGAGAGCCTTAGTCACTGTCCCCAAAAAACTGGATTGTATCGAACTGTGACATTCGGAGAGCTGGCAAGCTCAATATATTTTAGGATATGTACATCTAAACGATTCACCATGTTCATAACATATTTTATTTGACCAATACATGACTTTTAGGGCTACTCCATTAAGGTACTCCAAAACGCGGAGCCCTACTCCATGGAGTACCCTTTAGTACATGTGTGTACATATTTATGTTTTTTCTTCAATCATCAGTAACAATGAGTACTTACAATTTCCCGTACGTTTATCTTCCTCAGTTCCCTCTCACTCGTTGAAGATTGGATTCGTTTATCCTCTGATTGTTTCTTACCAGGATTTTTTTGGGTGGGTGAAGCAGACTTTGATTTGAATTTTGCCACATTATCAGCATAAGTCTGCCTCTGCGATCTCAACGTAGAAAACATCAAGACTGAATTCTTGAGATCTAGATGGACTCGTCCCTGTCTCTCAACTTTTTCTAGTGTTGTATGATAAAGGAAGCTCTACAGCACATATTGGTACTCAAACAGAGTCCTTGTGTGGAAGAATTTGTCAAAGGAAATATTATTTCCCATTTTGTATCGTTAAATTTAACCACCATCTTGGATAAAAAGTCCCATATCACACTGGGAGCGTTTCAATCATTCCCAAAAAGCATTGCGGATGGCGACATTTTAGCGCCATGATTTAAATATGGCGGACAATCTGACTGACAATCTGATCGAGAGGGAAATGCAGTCTCTCTTCAAAAGACGCTTTTGATGTGAATATGTAAAGGTTGCTGGTACTTTTAAGGTACATATGGAGAAATAGCCTACTTGTAAGCTATGGCACCGTTCTTCGTTTCAAGATCAAATGACATTGCTTCGCACAGTTCAGTTTCAGAAACTTTTGCGTTCCTCGTCGCTTGTTAGTTCTGAATACGGAGAGCAATTTCTCAGAGTGTTGAAGATTACGAGAGGGTTTTGGTACAGAGGATTTGCCATGCGACCACTGCGTATCTTGAATGTTGCCGAGAAAAATGATGCGGCCAAAGAACTGTCTAGGATAATGTCTAAGGAACTGTCTAAGCCAATAAAAAGTCTTAAATTGCATTATCCAATGATCCAGTTTTTAATAAAATGTGTTATAGTTCACCACCAAATTTTCTCCGGTTCTTATTGGTTTAAATTGATCACATGATGTGATAGTGTTCATCTGTGGAGAGACACTATCAGCCCATCGTGCCCGCCCGCGGAAAATACCCGGATGCATAGTGCTTGTCCACAGAAAATACCTGGATTGATAGTACTCATCCGTGAAAATTTTTGAATAGTTTGATGGCCGCAAAGTTAGGCAGATCGGAAAAACAGTGACTTTTCAATTCTGACAGGTAAAATGTATTATTTAGCCATTGTACGGTTGTGAATTATTGACATTTGTGACAAGCTGTAGGTGCAGAAGAAAATTTAGTGGTGAACAATAAAAACAATAGAGTGTTTATGTCTCGGAACTATCGGTCTGATAGTTGCCCCTTGGAAATTTGATATTCTTAAAACTAGCATATTCGCCCTCGAAGCTTCACTTCTCAGGCAAATATTTGTTTTAAGAACATCAAATTTCAGGGGGGCAACTATCAGCCGATAGTTCCTCGACAGAAACACTCTATTGTTTAAATAAAGCCACGCGGTATGTTGGGAGAACACAAGGAAAGCTAATACATCACGAGCTTAAGGGCGAGTGGTTTTAAACCTTTCCCAGTGTTCTCCCAACATCACAAGTTGGTTCCACAACACTTTAGAAAGTAATTAAAAGTGCACTGCCTAGATGTACAAAAACCAATTTTTTTCTCTTCCACATTCACAGAGAGAAGGCTTCTCAAAGTTCAATAAGATTTATGAATTTGACTACCATATTTTGGGAAGTGTAAGTATTGATGTTTAGCCTCATGATGTATTCAACCTGGATTCCACTTAAATTGTACTTAAAGAAAAATGTCTTTATGAGAACAGTGCAC